GCGGGTCTGGTGGTGGGCGTGGTTGCGTAGTGGGCGTGGCCTCCCGGTGGGTGGGGCCTTGCGCGTGAAATGGAAAGGTCAGGGAAGGTGGGCTGGGCCCAGAGAGGGGGCGGGACGGGAGAGGAGGCCGGAGACAGGAGTGACGGGCGGCGGCCCAGGTGGTGGGAAGGGGCGTGGGCGGGGCCTGGGAGAACTTGGCTGGGTTGGGGAGGAGAGGGTGGAGCCGAGGAGGAAGGGCCAGGTGAGGAGAGGTGGGAGGGGGTAGGATGAGGGCCTGGGCGGAGTGTGGAAGGCTCACTGGGTAGCTGGAGATGAGGGGAGGGTCCCGTCGGGTGGAGCCCCACGACGTGGAGGACCAGCCTGTGCAGTGGAGAAAGGGCCTTAGGCGTGGGTGGAGCCCCGGCAGGAACAGCGGGAAACAGCTGGACAGCGGGAGAGGGCGGGGCATACGGAGATGGGGCGGGGCTTGTGGGGAGCAGGTGGAACCTGGGGAAATAAGAGACCGAAGGGAAATGTGGGCGACGCTTTGGGAAAAGACTGAGCAGGAATATGGGGACCGGGGAGGTGGCGGCAGGGCCTGCGGAGACTGGAGGGCTGGGATTTGGGAAGGTGGTGTGGAGTCTGGGGCGGTGGGCTGGATGCACAGGCATGCATCTGTAGACACACAGACGCAACCAACACACGCACACTAGCAGCAAACACACAAAGTCACGGACACGCACGCTAAAGCAGGGCCACCGCCTCACACAGATGCCCAAGTCTCCCGTGTGCCTGCGGCCTCACCTCCCCCACCTGCCTGCCTGGGATGCAGCGGGCGCCTGCCCCCCTTTGCCGGCTCCCTTCCGCCGCCCCCGCAGCCCGTCTGTCTCCCTCCTCCTGCCGCCCACGCTCCTCCCACCAGGCAGAGCCCCCGCCGCGCTCCTTCCCCCTCCCAGCCTCTGTGCCTTGGCCTCCACCCAGAGCCTCACCGCTCTCCCTCTCTCCCTCTCTCCCTTTGCGTCTCCGTGTCTCCCACTTGTCAGTCTCCCTCTGGGTCTCCGTTGATCTCTAGATCTCTGTCCACAGTACCGGGCTGCCTGACCCGGGTTATGTTTCAGTAATGGATTCTCTATACCTTTCCATCGTCCTCTCTGTCTGGCTTGGGATGAGAACTTGGGATGGGTGGGGGCTGAGAGCACCATCCGTGCATGGGAAAGGATGCTAGAAGAGAGACAGACAGACACCCAGAGATAAAGGAGACCTAGAGAAAGAGATAGAGATAGGGAGAGACAGAGCCAGAGTAACAGAGTCAGAGAGAGAACCAGACAGAGGAGAGACAGAGCATGAGAGAGAGAAACAGGGAAAGAGAAACTTAGAGACAAAAGGAGAAGGAAACTGAGAGACAGATACATCAAGAGAGGGAGAGGGAGCCTGACCAATGTGACTCGGTTGGTTGAGTGTCGCCCTTTGCACCGAAAGGTCACCAGTTCAGTTCCCGGTCAGGGCACATACTCAGGTTTCTGGTTCGATCCCCGACGCAGGAGGCAGCTTATCCAATCAGCTTTTCTCTCTCTCTCCCCTTCTCCTTTCCTCTCTCTCTAAAGTCAATAAAAACTTATTTTTTTAAAAAAAGAGAAAGGGATAGGGAGAGGCTGAGAGACTGAGATGGAGAAAGACCGAAGGGAGAGAGATTGCGGGGAGGTGGAGAGAGAGATTCTGGTTGAGAGGCTCAGCGGGACTCAGGGAAGGAGAGGTCCTTGGGAAGCCATAAAGAGGAAAAATGAGTTGGGGTCAGCGAGAGACAACAGGAAACAGCCTGAGAAAGAATGGGCCTGAGGTCAGAGGCCACGGCAGGCAGGAGAGTGGAGTTTCCAGGAAACACCAAGGGCAGGCGCGAGAGTGATGGAATGTCACGCTGGGGAGGAGGGCTTCTTCCTTTGATCTCAGGAATCCCTGCCCTTGTTGAGCTCCAGTCCTCCTTGCTGTCCCCTACCAGTTGGGTTTCTCCTCCTGGGTCCCCTGAGGGCACACTTGTCAAGGCACCAGTCGGCGGACATGTCGCTGCATGTCAGTCACTGCGTGTCAGTGGATCGTGGCGTGTCTGCAAGAGAGTGCGCGTCGGAGGCGTGTGTGTCTCACCCTGTCAGCGTGGCACCTGTGGGCAGCTGTCTGCATTGTCAGGGTGTGTGAGGAGCATGTCTCAGCTGACCCTGCTCCTTGCCAAGGTGTTTCAGCACCTCGGAGAGCGCCAAGCCCACACCTGAGGTGGGGGGCCGCCATTCTGTCCACCCACAGAAAATTTAAAATATCCTGAGAGCAGGAGAGAGTGGGGGTGGAGGTGGACACATGTCTCTAGGTGACCGTTGCGTGTATCTGTCTTTGCATGGGTGTCCCTGCAAACCTGTGCATTTCTGGGTTGAGATGAGTCTGTTGAGTGACTATGATTGAGACCCTTTTGCTTGAATTGTGTCGATGTCACTATTCCATTCTGTGGACACTGAGAGACCCAGATGGAGAGAGGACAGGTAGAGAAAGGCAGAGATCTGGGGAGAAACTGAGATAGAGAGTGTCAGAGACAGACAGAGTGCAAGAGATTGAGAGATAGGGACACAGAGAGACTGAGAGATGGGCAGAGAGACAAAGGAAGATTGAGAGACCGAGATGCAGAGAGAGACACTGAAGGGAAAAAAAAAACCAAAAGGCATGAAGAGCGAGATCTACAGCAGGAGAGTCTGCCGGGTAACACCCGGGGTCTGTAGGTTGGCCCTGTCGCCGAGGCTGTGGAGGAGGCGTCGTGTTCACGGGCATCTGGTCCCCGCGACTTTGCCACTTGCTCAGGAATGGCTACGGGTGTGGTGGTTGTGGTGTGGGTGGTGTGATTGGCTGTGCTTCCTCTCCTGGGTGACTGTGTGGGCTGGGTGTTTGTGTTTCTGGGTTCTGGGGCTGGGCCTTGTGGTTCCTGCAGCTGAAAGCGCTGCCAGTGTCAGTGTGGGCTCTCTGGGGCTGTGGGTTTTTGTGATTGGGGGCATTGTGTGGCTGAAGGGGAAGGGTAACTTCTAGCTGTTCTTCCCTTGCCACACCCTGGTTACCATAGCAGCGGGGATGCTGAGAAAATCTGTCAGCACTCAGCCCTCCAGAGGTGGCCAGGACAGAGGACAGGAAGCTGATGGTCTCTTGGAGTGAAGGATTTGAGTTGACGGATGTTTATGTAAGGTTCTAGGCGTTGGGGATACAGCAGAGAACGTAAATGAACAAAGATCACTGTCCTGGTGGAACTCATATTTTAGTGCAAGGACGCAAATGGCAAAGAGTAAACAAATAAATAAACACACTAAATGGTGTGTTAGAACAAGGAAGACAGAACAGGGAAGGGGTCAGTGCTGAGTTAGGGCTAGGGCTAGGGTTAGGGTTAGGGCTAGGGTTAGGGTTAGGGTTAGGGTTAGGGCTAGGGTTAGGGCTAGGGCTAGGGCTAGGGTTAGGGTTAGGGCTAGGGTTAGGGCTAGGG